TTCACTCCTCACATACATGTAGTCAATTTAAGATATATCTCTCAATAATTGAATATTAAACTTATAAATATAGATTAAATTCATCTCTTTGATGTCAAAACTTTTGTTAAGACAAGAATCATAATCTAAACAAGCATTAAGCAAAGAAATTTATAAGAATTACTACAAAAAAAAAATTATCTTGTAAAAACACAATATTTATAATTAAAAACTATTTTTTATCTATACTATTAATATAATATATATCAATAAATTGTTAAAAAGTATAGATATAAATGATAGTGACATATAATATATATAATTGAATTTTATTTAAAATCAATACCTATATATTTTATATTTATTATGATACTTTTTATATGTTACTGTATACAACTTTTTTAATAATAAATATTCACATGCATCTAGTCTTTTATAAACAAATTGATTTTATGAACCAAAGACAAAGAAAAAAGAACAAGTAGTGCCTAGGGCTTAAGGCTAGTCATACAAATTTATTACAAAAGACCACAAAGATATGCCAAATGTGATACCCCATACATAAAACACACCAAAATATACCCTTATTAGAACTTAGAAGTATAAGTTAACCCAAAAGTCTTTCCTAGCAAAGCAGCTAAACCAACCATCTCCTGTAAAATACATAACATAAACTACTATGCCTCTTGAAACAAGTGAAATATATTATTAGTATTTTGAATTTTTATTTATACATAAATTGCTTTTAGTTACGTACCAACAAAGTTAAAATATAGTTAACAAAGAATTAAAGTCTTTTAAACATGTTAATCATAATTCAATTCTTAATTATTCTTAATATATTTCTAATAAAGGTAGATATCTTTGTACTTTCTTACTTTATATATCCCTTTAATTCAGAACAACCAATTTTTTATGTCTAAGGTTGGCCAAAGTATCCGCGTATTTAATTCCTCCCACGACAAACGCCAATTACCTTTGCTTTACCAATCACTCAAAATCAAAATCCTAATGGCTTCAACGGTAGCAGCATATGGATATGAGATTCCACAACCATTGTCAAGGGATAGTTAATTACTACTGCTAAAGAGTGTCTGCATCAGTCATAACCTGATAAAGTTGAGAATGTTGATCCCAAGAAATATTGACCAAAGTTGAAAGCTCTGCTAGCAGAATAAATATATATTCAATTCATTTCCCAGATCGATTACCCCCTTGAGAAACCTTGGACCTTACCAAAATAATGCAGTTCTAATCACACATATCCAATTATAATGGATTATATATATCCTCAAAAACCATGGTAGTACTTAGATGTTGATTTAATGTGTGCAGGTAGAGTGTGTTAGGCTAGTTAATTAGTTCACAACAGCTACCTTACCTCTTGCCCATAATTTGTGTAGCACGGTTGTGAACCTCCTCCGATATAATTATATATATGAAATAAAGAAAATATGTTAAATTAGAGGCTGAGCCAAAATTTTTAAACTTACATATATGTGTGTGTTCAAACAAGCTATAGCTCACATAGCCTGTGGAGATTATATATTGATAAATATTAAACCGATCGAGTTGTCAAAGTGTGCATAAAAGAATGCATACCAGGTAGTCAGGTACTAACTTGAAGCAGCTGTTGTGAATCATGGCTGAAATTAAGGGTACCACTTTGGAATTAATTGGAAACCTAGCTATATAGGTAGAATCGGAACTTCATATACATATATACTTGCACCTATGAATCATGTCCATATCTAAGCTATATGATATCATTGACCAATTAATCCTCGTGAAACGTATATCTTTTCAACATGCTCAGAGGGCACAAGTTTAGCTCAAATTAAATCAAGAATATTCCAGCAAATCATCACCTCGCTCGCAGCAATTAACAAGATGGTTGACTATTATTACCCGAACCTTGCAATAGCACACAAAGCCAAATCATCGACCCTTTATGCTCAATCTCGTCAGTGACGACACCATGCGGCAACAATCCAATTTGTTAAGGATGAAATACCCTTTCAGAGAGTTCGTGTTCGATTTCCACACCCAGTTTTTGCTGCTGCGGATTCATATATACACCTTCTCTATACTCGATCTCTTGCGAATAATATTGCATAATTCGTTTATAGCTTGCGGATCTGCCTACCAGCTACCATCGTAATTCCAGGGAGGGATCCTTTACCTCAGCTATATCTATTGCGGATCTATGCACCTTATTATATGTGATAAAATGTTCCTCTAAGTTGAATTATATATGATATTCATGACTCCACTATGATGTACTACTAAAAACATGGCTAAATAATACTATTTAATAATGTATATCTATGATCTTATGAAACATATCAACTTTTATATATGTCATCATTAAAAAAATATATAATTTGTAAAATTTACTTCGGTAATAACAAAAATTCACATTTCCTTATACAATAACAAAATTTGACATATACTTGAGAACATGGGACTCAATTATCTTTTACTTATATTGAACCTTATTAATTAGTAAGATAACAGTTGTTGAAAAGTCTCATGTCTTATTTTTAGAGTGTTTTAATATGTTGGACAACTTTTTATTCAATGAAACTAAATGAGATATAATTAGTTGTTAGATGAAAGTTAACAAATTTTATATATTATGTACAATATATAGATTTTATAACTTAAATGAATTTAACAAGTTAGAGGGATTTTCTTTTTTGTTATAAAACATTGTAGGTAAATTAGACTTTGGAGGTTTACCAAGAACCATGTAGACCTTAAAAAGTTAAAAAATAAATAAATAAATAAATAAATAAAACACTTATATATTAACTATGGACAAAGTCTTTGCATTAGTAATGGAATTCAAACTCACATCTTGTCAAATATAAGTCTCATCCTTAATGGTTAAACTATCATTTCTTCACAATATTAAAAGTTTACTATAAAGGATTTGATAATAATACAATTGATTGATTCACGAGTAATTTTAAAATATAATAAATATGGCGTTTATACGTATAGCTAGTTAATTTTTAATACATATTAGAATTTTAATATAATTGCTAACTATTAAGATAAGTCTAACGGTCAAAAATTGAAATATATGAAATAAAATTTAGGTTTAATTTTTATTGTCGTTAAAAAAAATTAAAAGATAACGAAGTTTTTAATATAACTATTGTAATATTATTTTGAAATTTTTCTTTACAATTTTTTAAACACGTGTCCATGCAATATTTTCTTTGATTTATTTATGTTGCACAATTTCGCAACCAGAGTTTAGTTGCAAAAAGGAAATACATAGGAGATTACATATCATGGTAATTGGTAAATAAAGGGAGCAAGGTATACTTAAATATTTCTTTACGTTTTGAAATGTAAGGTTTTGGTATATTTGCTTTTAAGGGAAAACAAGTGGGTGTGGACCAATTCAATTCTGTGATGCACACATTTGTGTACGCAGATATACTTATTATAGCTGCTTTATTCATTATCACTGATCGACGTTGTTATTAATCTTAATTTTTGCTTGAATATTTACTTGGATAGGATAGCATATAGCTTAAGGTTTAGTGGTTGGTAACATTGCAGATATCTATTGTCAAGACGCCAAGTCTAAATTTTAGTAACACAAATATTTCTGTACGAGTGTTGAACTTGAATTCACAAAACTAATATTGATTTAGTAAGATTCAACTTGGTTTAGAATGGGTTTAACTTAGGCACGCATTTTAAATGTGACCAATCTACTGTGTTACCTAAACGAACTGATCATCAATCAAAACGATCGAACAAATTTAATAATACTTGTTATCACACATTCACACTACTGCAATGCACCCGCGTTCTCTCTCTATATTTATTTTATAGGATAATGACTTATTCACTCTAGGATGAATTATATAAAAAAAGTACGCCTGTTTAAATTGTTCTACAAAGTAAAAGTGTGTAAATATATATATATATATATATA